GAAGATGATTGGGCAGTTAATCCTAGCAACCATTTCTAGGCACATGAAGGAAAAGAAGCTGTTGGAAAGAGTCCAGCACAGGGCCTGTAAGAGGATTCAAGGGACTGGAACATCTTTCTTTAAGGAAAGGCTGAGAGAGCTGGATGTGTTCAGCACAGAGAACAGTCAGGAGGATCTGAATGTGTATAGTCACCTAAAGGAATGATGCAAGAAGATGGAGGAAAGCTCTTCTCAGTGAATGACAATACGAAATTGAGCACAAATTGAAATACAGGAGGCACTCTGTGAACATAAGGAGAAGCCTCTATAATTTGAAGATAACTGAGCACTGGACAAAGATGCCCTCAGAGGCTGTGTAACTTTCATTCTTGGAGACATCCAAAAACTATCTGGACACAGATATCAAGGGATACTTGCTTGTCCCTACTTAAGCAGAGGGTTTGGATAAAATGACCTTCAGAAATCCCCTACAACCTCAACCACTTTGTGATTCTGTGATCTCTAACCCAAAGCAGACACAGGAAATCTTCTAGAGAAAAGTTAGGCTATGCTTCCCTTCAGCACAAGGTAGATTTTGCCCCAGGGTGCTTCTTCCTTTCCAAGTGGCAAGATTGAAGGAGCTCACATTCCTTAGAGGCGTAGAGAGCACCTGGATCAACAAAGTCTGCTCTATGGCAAAAGGACATGACAGGATCAAAAACATTCCCTGGTGACCCAGATGGAATAATTTTGAATTTATTTCAACTCCAAAAAGTCATTGAACTGTTTGGCTGAGAGCAACATTAAAGAAAAGGACATGTTCTGAGGGAAAACTGTAGGCATCATAGAAAGTTATTTCTATTTTTCTGTACTTAGAAATTTTCAGTCTCCAGATTAAAAAGTACATTTCCTAGCTTATATTCTAAAAAACCACTGGACGTAGACTCTGACAGCCCAGTTATAGCTGTGTAATAGTAAGATAAACATAAACACACTCAAATATGTATATATATATAAAATATGTATAGTATTTGTATGAGCTATTTTCATTTAGCAAGAGACCACTGAAAAATCCTACCATTCCATTTTTCTAAATACTACTGACAAAAGCCATGTTTGGTGCAGAATATTAACTTAGCTGCTAGTGATGGTGAGAGAAAATATTATGTTTTGGGTTGTCCCTCTTCACCTATCACTATATGATTTTAAGAATTACTGACAGATATACAATGCAAAAAAGTCAATATGTTCAGTACAATAACAGTCTTGGGGTTCATAAGGGATTTAAACTTTTTCAGGTATTCTAATAAAAAAAAGATTCCAACAGTTTATGCAATATTAAAAGTTTTTTTAAAATAACAGTAAAGAGAAAGAAGTAGTTCTAATGCCTTCTTACTGTTTTCATATGCTTTTTGATTTTCCTACTATAGTACCAATTTATAAATCTACAATGATAATGAAAAACTGTTATGATAAAATTTGCAGCCAGTTTTAATATATACCGGACTTCTAGAGAAACAGTAATGATCGGATAAAAGTTCTTGGAAGACTGTACCTGCATAAATCTTTGCCACTAATTTCTGAAAACATGTCTAACATTTGCACAAATTATCCTCTTTTAACATCGTTCATTTTATCTTCTTTTAAGATTTGTTTAATATAGAACTGCAGATGTATTTTTAGGTTTCAATAGTAATGTTTCAGAAAGACAACTATGACTTGAACATTTTTATACCTGATGTACGAGAAGAGAGGGTATGCATCTCTGCTCTGCTCAGAGAGATTAAATGGAGCAATACAAATAGGCTGTGCTTTCACCTCTAGAAGCTGATGGACTTCATCTGCCTGTAGTGACACCTATTCAGAAAATTTGTTGTAGCTGCAGACGCTAGGCTATTCCGTCCAAAGACTGATAAATAGCTGTGAGCTAGGGCACACAGCTTCTTTGAGAATGCTTCTATTTATTCATTTATTTATTTATTTCCCCACAAAATTAGAAGAAGATATAACAGTACAGAGAAACTGAAACAAGATTTTCTAAAATACCACAAATCAGTGCTCAAAATCCGGTAAAGATTTCAGTCATAGGCAAGCACTCTAATATTAGAGTTGCACCTGCCTACAAGGACTGCCAACTAACAAAGTGAAATATTGGAATATATAAAATATTACACTTAAGAATATGTCACTCTTTCTTCAAAGTGTGATCCTTAAATACACACTCATAATCTTAAGCAGTCAAATAGATGGAATTTCTGAATACAAAAACAAAAAAAGGTAGGAAGTAAAATTATATATATGGTTAAAATTTAGAGTAATTATATATGTATACATACACATATATTAATAGGAAAAATGTTTTAACAAGTCCATCCACTGAGCATTTCTCAAAAGCAGTGCAATATTCCAACCTTTCGGAAAACCTGGAAAATTTTATGAGAGGAATTAAATTCTGAGGAACTAATCACAAACGTGAGTGATTCAGTGAATGGAGACAGTTTTATAGATCCAGGCACAGAAATTACAAAATGAAGTATAGCTAGTTGGAGGCTGCCAAGGTCAATCGTGTGAAAGTTTAAAGGAATGTTAGTATCATTTACACATCTAACTGATGCCAATTTGCAGCTAAGATTAATAGTAGAAGATTATCACATTGTTTTATTATAAAAATTGACTGTCAGGCAGGACCTGCTGGTCTTCATTCACATTTCTCTAACCAATCGAAGTCGTGGGTTCTGTGTCCACAGGAATTACGTATTCACTGAAAAAGACTTTTAGCTTCCTGTACCTGGACTCAGGGATGACTTCTGACATATCCAACACCACTTTGAGCATAGTCAGGCTCTTTCTGCAGGAATCAGAATCAAAGTCTTATTTCTTGTGGTAACACCCATTTCCATGGCGAGGATAGCACTGATGGTTTGTATTAGCTTGTACACATTTGCAATGTGTTATGTTAGGTACAGCTGACCATGATAATAATTTAGGAGTCACAAAATTCTCCTGCTATGCCCATGAGATTGGGTACATAGGACCTACAGATACCTTGCTTTTGAATAACTATAAGAGCAAGACAAAAACAGTTCAGCCAGATCTGGACACATACGGATGAAAACATTCATGAGTCTTACAAACTTTTCTAATAACCACACAAAGAATTAGATAATGAATCTCAGTCATCACAAGCAGCTAAGAGAGCACAGGAGAGGGGATGCATATTTCATTCAAAATTGTGCCTAATTGGATTATTTCTTCTTTAGACCTAGCTGTAGATGCTTATATATAAGAGGTTTACAGCAAATAAATGTTGCATCATCTGAGTTGACTAACTGGTATGAGAAAGAACTGATCTGCTTTAATGAGCTTTTTATATACATTTTCTATCACAGTTAATTTTTACTTTTGTAATAATATCATTAAGAGTATAATATTATGCAATTTCATAACCAGATAACCATACTGACTCATTAATGTGAATATTAATATCCACTGATTTTAAGAATCTTTTGACGTATGTTTTTAAATTGCTTACAGAATGTTCTTATGATGAGAATTTCACACTCTTTTCACACTTTGCAAAAACAGTTGTCAAGGAAACTAATTAGTTCCACAATCGTAACTGCAATAACGATTCATATAAAGACTTGATGTTCAATAGTGTAACGGATTTTTCTTTCTAACTATTTTGAGGTTATGAGAGTGCTGAAAGGAAAAAGCTCCATAACATCTATAAAGCTATGTACAAAGAAAAATGTTCTATATTCACAGGATAAATTAAAAAAGGCACTTTTTACTTCCACATCCAGAAACTATTTATGTTACAATTTAAACAGGAATCTCATGATTCTCATTTACAGTAGCTGTTACAATAACAGGGAAGAATTCAAAGAATTGTAACAGGTTATAGAAAGTTGCAGTGCAAAGCAAGTTACATTCTGGTATTCAAATGAGCAAAACTAAAAAGACTTAAGTCTTTACCAAAGTAAGGTTTTATTTACTTTTCTACTTGGTAAGTATTATAATTTTCGTGGAGTTATCAGATTCCCCACATTTATGTTCCCTTTTTTTTTGACTGTGCAGTATAATTTTTAATTTGAATGATTGCAACCATGAAACACTGTCAGTTTAAAAAGAAGTACACTGACCTATAAAGGCCCTGAATCTCAATCAAGAAGCAAATCAACACTTTCTACATCAATTTAATTGATAAGTTAGGTATTGTTTGCTTCATATTGTTTACATTATAAAAACTAAAATTACTCACAAAATATCAGAAATTACTATCACAACTTGTGTTTATTCTGAATTAAACAATTTACATTGCTATTCCAAAATATAACTTCAGAAGCACTAAAACTTCATGAATTAGTTACTGAAAATCACTCACTCTTACCTCCTATTCATTTTTCCTTTAAAAAGTTTTAAATCTTTCTATTTAGACACTTATAAAAATATGAGTGATGTATTTACTTATGTCAAAGCTTGAAAATAGGCCAGTTAGAAGGCTGCATGCTCACTGTACTAACACTGAGTCCTGTTAATCAGTAAGACAATATCTAAATTACTCTCCTTGAAGTCTTAATCTCATCAGTCACTAAAATAAGTACCCTTGTTACATGTATTCCTCAAAGCACACGCAGGCTGGGCTGAAATACAGAATTCTAACAAATAAATTCACTGAAAACAGGCACATATAGAGTAAGAGACAACTTAGAAATTGTAAAATAAATGCATCTCAAATATTATATTTCTTTTTAACTGCCATTATCTGAGTTGAAGATTCAGCGTTTGTTCTGTGCTTAGAAATAACGTTACTAAGAGCAAAGTAGAAAAGGAAAGTCCCATTTAAGGATTTTTAACTGAGTTTTCTTTACTGGTAACAAAGTATGCAGTCTCAAGCTTTGTCAGTTAAGAAAGACTCCAGTTACCCTAACAGACCATTCAACTACACACATTAACATACTACGTTAATACTAAGTCTGAGCAATTCAGAGAGAGAAAACACTCCATAATCAACTTACCTGTAATAATGTTGGGCTTCGGTGGCATGCTAAATTCGTACAATGTTGGTTCAGAAAAACCCAGTCTGTTTGCAGCTGTAATTTGTACTTCGTAACCCATGGTCCACTGAAGATGCTCTAAGATGATGTGGTCTCTACTACCCTGCACTTTTTTCTCTAGCCACTGGTCTTCCTTATCTTTCTGTAAAAATGCAAACATTAGTTTATATTCTCAAAATCTCTTGTACTATTTGTCTAAACTGCCTGACTACATGAAGAAAGAAAACTACATAAATTAATTTCCAAAGGTTATAAACTTTTGAATCATCTAATTTTGAAGTTCTTAGTAACCAGGCTTTTTGTGATTATGACTATACCTCATCATTCCACAATGTGGATGTAGGGATTTTATTAGCAACTTTTTTTCAACCTTTTGGGTTGAATTTCTACACAAATACACATTTCAACTTAGGAAAAAGGACAGTTATGTATAAAATCTGTTAAGAATATTTTTTTTTAAATTTTATTTTATGAAGATGTTGCATTGTATTTTGCCAAATGTTCTTAAAGAGAACTTTCTCATCAAAACCATAATCCATATTCAGAAATAGCTCACGAATGTAAGCTGTGCTTATATTATATATTAGTTACACACTGAATACATAAACTAACTGTAGCAGTATATTGTACCACAGTACCATTTTGCAAAAAATGCTGTAAGCAAAAATATAAACATTGTTAAAAAAGTATGCAGCACTATGTTTACACTGGTGAGAGGATACATTTAAATCAGTCAGATAGTATCATACAGAAAAAAATGTTCAAGTAATTCTTGCAGTTATAAGACACCAATACAGAGAGAACAAATGAGGCCTCAGGCAGCAACCTTAAAAGGCATTTTATAAATCTGGAGTACTTACCTTTGCAATCTCTTCTTTTAGTATTTTTGAAGCATTTTATATTTAAATTACACTTTATACAAATGATATTTAGAAAATAACTAATAGGTAAAACAATAAAATAATGTGCATTGGCAAACAGTAAGCCATCTTGATCAAAGGATTTTCAGTAACATTAAGAATTCACGCAGTCCTATTAAACACAGAAGTGCAATGCACTGACAAAAACAATGGCTGAGAGCCAAATCCTGGCCATCCACCCCACACAGCAGTGCAGTCAATGGATGCAGCTTTCTGGAAAAAAAATAAAAAATCAAATAGAGAGAAGTGCAGCTTTTTGCTATGGACCACCATCCTTCAGTAGCTTACATTTAGGCACTTCACTGAAGGATCTTGCTCTTGAATGATAGAAGTGTTCAAAAAAATAGTATCTAAATTAGATAAGCTGACAGCCCAACCATGTTGTCTATGTCTATTCTTTTTGTCCTCTGCTTCCAGAAAATAGAGTGAAATACTGAACTCCCTTATATGTACTGCTTAAATAACTTATTTGCTATCAGCACTGAGTGTGATGAATTCTCCATACTGACTTCACCTTTTGTTCTACAAGTTCATCAATACAAAACAGTACTGAGATAATTAAAATTAAAACAAAAAAAGTTTCAGGAACATTTGCAGCAAGGTGAAAGTAAGTGGCTGCATCATAGACCAACAAAAAACATCAGAATGGTTGTTACATTACACATCAAGAAAAAAGAATAAAGACACTGGAATAAAAATAGTTTACACAGCACAGTGAAAATGGTATTTTCTATCATTTTTTTTAAAATTTTCTTATAAAATGTTAGTCCTCACAGATGACTTCTCTGTCAGTTACTGACATACTACTGCACGAATCCATTTATATTTACATTCCACTGACTGAATCTATACATATGTTCACATCACACTGATTTTTCAATCTGTATTTTTGCGTAACATTGACAAAATATTAAGAATTAATATTGATTGCAAACATGCATGTACAAATACTCTGTAGTAATTATATTAGCAGCATTGTTGCATAGTGCCGTATTTCAGAGGCTGTTTAAATCTGTGAAATTTGGGAAGAGTTAGAAAAAATTAGAACTAGTTTCCAAAGAATATAAGCAAGAGCAAATTAGAGGGTGCACATGTGATCTTAGTGCATGCACACAGAGCTGTGTGAACACACTAAGCAGTTCAGAAGAAAATCAGGTTCACAGGAGAAAAAACTAGATATCAAAATGGAAAATATTCCAGCTGCTCATATAAATATGAGGTTGCTTCTGCAAACATAACATTAGGTGACAAAGCAATTGTTTCACACTTTGGTAAGGCAAAGAACAATGAAAGAGCTGAAACAGAATATCTGTGTGCTATGCCAGCGAAGTGACACCTTAAGATTAGTTGAAAGTGATGCCTACTAGATAGATTGAGATAAATGAAACAGGCAGAGTCCAAGCACTGAGCTCAAAGACATCAAAGCGTTTTACCAAGAGAGACAAACACAAGCTGAAAGAAAGAAAAAGAATGAAGGTAGTCGTCCAATGGTGAAAAGAGGAAGTCTTCTAAAATACAGTCATCTTAAAGTCTAAGAATAATGGCAATATCCTTCCTTCTAGTTCCTATTTCACATGCATTTTCAAGCACGTTTAACAAAGTGGAGATCAGTAATGAGTCCAGATTAATTTTACTATTAGAGTAGCATTGGAAAGGGACGAGAACACAAATTTTGCCAGTAAAATATTCCTACAAATCTCCCGTCTATGCTAAGACCCTTTAATTGGTAGCTCAAGGAGCAGAAAATAGAACTATGAAGTATCACTTCATACTTTATTAGGTTACTCTATTATTAATATTGCTTAAAATTCACAGGAGGCTCCAAATATGCAGGGTGTTTTATAACAAATGCAAGGAACTCTGAAATCGTGAACTTAAGTCTAAGCTGAGGAGCGCTCTAATGTAAATGCCTTCAATCATTATTTGCTATTTGCAATTTTATCATCAACATGCATTAGATAATCCAGATACTAGATATTTCAGACACTGGAATCAGATCTGCAATCTCAGAGGTTCAACTTTCCCTCATTTCTATTTTGTTTTGTTTTTATAATTCCAAAATACTTTTTTAAGGAAGGTCACTGTCACTGTGAGACTGACCAATGTCTGGCAATTTCTGGAGATCTTACTGCTCATTGCCATTACTCATAAACTTTAAATTCACACTGCTCTCGTCCCTGCCCCGATCTTTGATTGAAACAAACCTGCTACAATGCCTCAGATTAAAGTCACTAAAAAATTACAATTATTTCTTATTTCTTGTATACTGCATTTGAATATAAGAATTAATGAAATTTTTCTGTTAAGTATCTAAGAGCTAGATTTGTAAGATACGTAGGAGTAGCTTAAGCACCTAAATTACTTGACAAAAAAAAAAGCATGAAAAAATTACAGCATAACTTCAATCTACTTGATTTCTTCTCAAAACTGAGGGCAGATCTGACAATGGCAGAAGGAAAGCCAAACACTTTTTTTGGGAACTGAACTATTCACTAGTCTAGAAAATAATATTTGTCCATTTAATGGTCATATTACGTTGCGCCTAAGATTACTTTCTCTGGAAACTTGAAAAAAATCTAATTAACCTCTTTCAATTCTTTTTTTTTCCATCCACTATAAACTGTTTGCACTGTAAATTCAGCTCAGAAAGACTTATTATGCTGGTCACTGTGACAAAAAAAGGGCAGGAGATGCCATACTATCTTGAAAGCACACAGGAAAAAGATCAAGAAATTCTCCGGGAAGACAATCTGACAGTTCAAAGGAGTGACTTCACAAGAATTCAATACCTAAGGATGGTACTTTATAGGTCTGGGTGATGTTTTAGAAGAGGTAATAATACAAGATGAATGCTGAACAAAGCACAAAATGGCTGAAAACATAGTGCTAAAATGCACAGAAAGATCAAGGACCTGGCAGGTAATGCATAACTCTGAGACATAAAAACACGTAACTGTTTTATAGCAGGAGTGAATGAGAAATGCTCTATTCTAAAATTATCTGTATTCATCTTCTATCAGTTTTTTTTCAAAACATATCATAAGGCCACAAAATGAACATGGTCATCCATCAACATAATCTAACATGACTGAAGCATACAATCAGAAATCATACAACTGCCAGTACAAAAATTCAAAGCATTAATAGTAACACTGTGACAGGTCAACACTACCAAAAGCATTTATGCCTGCAAAAGCTAATTGCTCATGTAGTGTATCCTCCAGACATCATTAGATGTGCTAGAGGAAAAAAGAATTTTTCTGCTGTCACTAGTTCTCAAAATATGATTTTTTTCTTGCCTTCACCTAAAAGTACATCACCATAAAATACGGATATTTTTACTACTTCATTGTAATTCTAAGCTTCTACTGAAACTTGGAATGAAAGAGAAACCCCTCCTACAATTTCTTCAGCTGACTGTTGGCATTCTGCAATTTGAACTACAGAAACAGAATTCCCTTTTACAGTCACTCAGAAGCCTGTTTCAAAACTTCTCTTTTAATCACAAATGAAATTCAATTTAAGATATGGTACCAAATTTATAACTGAAGACTTGGATTAGATCCCTTCAAAATAATATGCTGACATTTATTTGCAGGGAACATTAAGCACCAACCACAAATTCACAACTGCAGCATGTCCAGCTTCACAATATCCTCCACTGTCAGGATCCACTCGAGCAACATGCATGCACTTTTGCTTGTGACCGCGAATAGCATAAATGACTTTATGGCGATCAGGATTTGTTGGCATGCTGTTTCCAGTGTCTCATCCTGCTTAATACCTTCCATTTGCTGCTTTGTAGCCTTTTTCTTGCAGACATGTGCCTTTTCACCCACCAGTCGTAAGCTGCTGTGGCAGTAACTCCTTGTATCCCAAATGCTTTTTCCATGTGAACTTTATCTCCTCATCCTTCATTTTAGACTGTAACTCCATACTACCATCTGCTCCACATTCTTGGCTAACTCCTAGTTTACCACTCCTGTACTTGGCAGGCAGCACAACAGATAACAGGCATTTACGAATCCAACACACAGTTCCCCAGCAATTGACATGGATAAAGCTTAATGCCCATTGCCCAACACCAGCACCTGGACATGCGTACCCCAACCAAAAAAAGTAGTACCATAACTGGGAATGAGAGAAGAAATTGAGTGGGTCCTCATCACAGTTAGCAAGATCTTCCCCTAAGAATTAATTAATCTTAAGAAAGCAAGAGTTGGCAGAATGAAACAGATGATTTCTTGAGAAAAATAAAACTTACCAGTTCTTAGTTCTTAGCCCAGGCTATAATAACTCTACAATATCTTAATGGCTGTTCTACTCCTTGTTTCAAGAAAATCTTTACAAAACTTAAGTATGAAGGAACCGTCCCTTAATAAGACATGAACTGCTACGAAACACAAAAAAGAAATCCACTGATACGTAACTTGTTATCTAACATGCTTTTTATACTTGCAAGCAAATTCACTGGTCCAGGCACTAGTAATGAGGCTGACAAGAATTATAGGAGAGCCAATTAAATATGACCAATGGGCAAGACAAAACAGAAGCAGTCAACAAATGATTTAGAACTTTAAATAGCATCCATTCATTCTGATTAAAACACCAAAAAAATACTGTGCTTTTTTTTTGTTGTAAGAAGACCTTTAATTTAGTCAAACTGCTTTTTCAGTTGAAAGCATAGGGAGACATGGATTTCAGCTCCAAGTAAAAGCTATCTCCTTCTGTAACCTATTATGTTTTCAGTTAGTGCTTAAACTGTATATTTATCTTTCAATAACAAACACAAAAAGCGAACTTTTATTCTACAGTGGTGTACCTTAGTCAAAACACTGGGTTAATCGTGTTTACAAAGTTATTCACAATAGGTCCAAAAATCATTTAAATTACCAAAATCACAGAAATAGATTAAATTTCTCATATCACATGTATGTACAATATCTGCACACAGATTGTAAATTTTTTAGCAAATGATGTAGGAAATCAGTTTACACGCCAGTCTTAGCACATGGATAATCCTAGAGCAACCATCAAAAAGTTATATTATAGAAAACATCAGGAAACATAACAAATTACTGCAAAATCAGGTGTTGACTTATCCTTTCTGGGAGTACTAAAACAGGTTCTGCATTTGATCTCTCAAGGCTTTCTAATTTCTGCAAAATATGGTCCTCTCTATTTTCTGTTAAATATGTTTAAATAGCTGGTGTTATATGTCTGATCTCTTTCAGACTCCTGAAGTGGACATATAAATCTGTGACTACACTCTGTTAAAATGTTTTCTTACTGGGTCTGGTCAGATAAGTATGGTACAATCTTTCTAAAAGAATAGAAGGAACTTAATAGAATATGAACACTTCTGAATTAATCTCCTTGCCTTTGCTAGATGTAGAGGTACTTCTTCCGTGTAGTCATTTCTAAACTTAGCCTAATAGGCTAATAGGCTATGTTTAGAAATTTAATTTATTTAACTATTTTATTTATATTTTAGCTACTTAAATATAAAATATATTCATTTCTCATAGAAAAAAATATAGAATATTTTTCATAAAAAAAAAAATTGTACACTACAAGCAAGTCTGCGTTCTAAACTTGCCATATTTTACAAGAGACCAACAAATGAGATTCTAGTTGACAGAAGACCAATGAACTCTCCATGATATGTCTTAAATAACTGATCTGTACACTGAAAGTCCAAAAGTCACAGCAATTTGTAAATGATTTCATTTTGATACTTTGAATTGAGCTTTGGAGTATATAACTAATTTCTTTTAAACTGAACATGGAACACTAGAATACAGCATCCTATCTCTAGGATGCCATCTATCAGTACAGATACAGTTGTAACATGAAACTTGTTCGTCAAACATCTTTTAATTATGTAATTTAATGTCCACTGATTGACTGCACCTTTGAGAGCTGAACGTTCCTTATTTACCATGTAACAAGACAGAGAAAAGAGTTTTCTTATTACAAAGAACTTTCAGTTATACCTTTAGGAGGAGCAGGGTGTTTTTCTTTCATTCTCTGTTTTTCTTTCTTTTTAATAATCTGGCATTAGTAACCTAGTCACAAAAGAAAACATACTATACTATATCTTAGATTATTTTTCTTCTTCTCTTTTTCTATTATACAAACCATTTTTTTAAATGTTTCAAATAACATAATCAATCTTCTCTATGTCAAAAGATATTACTAAGCAGATCCCACCTACTTTGATTCACTGAAATACTTACACTTCTGTATTTGACAATGTATTCCAAAATGGGGGCACCTCCATCATCTTGTTTAGTTATACTAAGTTTGAAACTCTTTCCACTTCCTGGCTGTCCATGAATTGACGGTGGGCTTGGCTCACCTAAATAAGGAAAATAAAGTAAATAAATTAAAAAAAAAAAAAAGCAATGCCAGAAACCTTAAATTACAGCTGGGAGTTCACCAATAAGATTATTCATCACAATCTTTAAAATCAGCATGATTCTTTCAAGTATTGCAAAACATCCTTTATAAGTGTGCTAAATGTTTTGCTTGAAGTATGTTCTAAACTAGATTATTTCACACAATGAAATAAAACAATATCAAGTAAGTCTAAGTTTCTTTGAGATTTTCTGACTTGAATATTTTCAAATGTAATTTACATCAGAAATGACTTAGCCATTAATTCAATAACTGTGCCAAGACAAAGTTAAATACTTCTAAAGTAGACTATATTAAGAATGAGCATGAAAAATAAGATTCCAAAAAGCAAAAAGTTTTCTCTGCAAAGGGAGGACAAAAATAAACTTAAAATTGAATAGTTATAAGTTATATAGTTAGTTATAATAGCTTTAATTACTTTTCTAATAATATTTCACAGACCAACTAACATGTCTTTATGCAATGTTTTATATCCTAATTCAACATGTCATAATTGTCTCCAACTCAAAACATATGTAAATTTCCATTCACATAGAGGTATATTTTAAGTTCAAAATACTTATAATATTAGTTACATTTGCATTTATCTCTTGTTAATGAAAAGAATAATCTAAATCTCAATGGCGATTTTCCTAGTTTTCTATCAGGCAATGTATGTGTTGCTTCTGTCAAATCCTATCACTTTTCTATCAGGTGTAATGTGCCGTATGAATAACAGCAAACTGTTTTATCATACAATATATTTGAAATATGCATGTGCTTTAAACAAAAAGAAGTTTGAAAGCTGACAAGTGATTTGTTTTGGACAGAAAGCCCTTGTCAACGGGAATATAATAAAACAACACAGATATTTTGTGGCTTTCATAGCTGCTGCATTTCTACTGTTCTTTACGTATAATTTTGCCTTTTTAAAACTAATTTGGGGAAAATATTTTTCATTAGCTGTTCATCTTAACATGAGGATTTCTTGCTAGTAAATTTTACCACTAACATAGAAATGTCTTTGCATCATATGTCATTTTTGTGTAATCACAGTTAAAACAACGTATTCTTGTTATTTGTCTGTAGTTTTTGTTTTAGGTATTATAGCTGCAAAACTTGTGGGAGTGTTTTTTGCTGGAGGAATGTCTCTGGGAAGGGCTCATTCATTTCTCACAGATGTCTGTAATATTCTGCGTGTAAATGAGAAAAAATCCTTAACCTAGTATCTTGCATGCTTTGCGCTCTAGCATGTAACACGAAGACTCGTCTGGACACAACTGGAGAAATACTCCAATTTCAGTTAATTCATATTAGTGGAGAGGATAAGAAGAACATAACACAATTTCTGAGAAACAATGTAGAGAAAACTGGTGTTATACACTAGAAAACAGTCAATAAATCATATTATCAATGGAAAATCATACTGCAAATTATTAGCAGATCTGAAGGCAACATATTCTAGAGAATGTAAGTATTTATATTTCCATTTAATCACACAGGTATTACTCACGGACAGGTAAAGTCTGAAATATCTCGATTTTGCTATATTCTCCTTGCCCTTTTCCATTTACAGCAGCTACTTTGATTTCATACGTTGTATTTGGTTCCAAATTGCTGAGAACAACCATTGCTAAAGGAAAGAAAAAATACAGAAAGAAAATTCAGTGAAGTAATGTGTTTTAAAAAAAGAAAAAGCCAGGTGATTTCATAATTCACTTACTTTACCTGCAACTAAGAGTCCAATTTTCAGACATTTTAATTTCAATTACAGTGGTTCCAAAATTAGCTATCTTGCTTACATAGTCCCATTTTTGTGAGCAAACATTGTGACTGAGTAATTTATGCTTCTGGAGGAATTTAATGCCAGTGATACAGAAACCATAGGCAATAATTAAGGAACTTAATAAAGGTTTGCTGTTTTGTGTTCAGACTGTGAACACAGGAGGAACAAATCTGTATCCTGTATGGCAATGGTCTTCTGACACACATTGAAGCCATTTTCATACAGTTCGTGACTTGATATGTCTGTGAAGTCATTACTTTTTTACACTGTTTGCTGGACAGCAGAACCAATTTGACTACTAGAAGCTGGGCAGCTCCACCTACTGAATGCAGCTGTGTGCACATCAATGCTGAATTACTGATGACAGTTCAAGCTAAAATGACAGGTGTTTTACGATGATCAAAGGAAGAGTTCCAAGCTATCAACTAAGGACCTGAAAGTGAATTAGGCATATCTGTAGATACTCAACAGGTGGTGAATGGAAATGCGTATTAAATTATAACAAAAAAAAGTGATTTGGGAAGCAAACATGTTTGAATTTCAGACTTAAAGAGAGCTTTCCTGTAAAGTTAAAGACAAAACAATCCCCTTCTCACTCCCCAACTAATTTCAAAGAATGACTGAACCATTTATGTTGGAAAAAATCCTTTAAGATCAAGACCAAATTTTGTATTATGTACATCAATTAAGTACCATACTTTCAGAAATCAAGACTGAAGCCTTGGCAGCAGATTTTCACATAGCCTGAAGACATCTACCTGGAAATGCCATCAGCAGCAGAAAAAGGGCACGGAATCTTGCTCAAAAAATACTGTACAGCTCTAAAAATACTGCAGTTGATGATGTACAGCACAAAATCCAGAAACAAAATCCAGAAAAAGGATGTTGGATTCCTGGACCCTCTACATTAATTCAGTATTGTACATTACCATACAGGGTACATATACTGATACCAATATTTCACCTAGAAACTTAGATCCACAAAGAGTTCTTGGACCATTACCGTGTCATTGCAAGAAAGCCACCTTTTGTTGTCTCTACATAAACTGACCGTCTCTTGTTTAACAGCTCTGTAGTGAGCTCTCACAATATGAGATTCATTCTAAGGAACGGACATACATGGGATGGACTTTAGTTGAATCATAAAATCATTAAGGGTGGAAAAGACCTTCTAAGATCACTTAGCCCAACCATCAATCTATCACCATCACACCCACTCATGTCCCTCAGTGCCACATCCACAGGGTTCTTAAACACCTTCATGGATAGTGACTCCACCACCTCCCTGGGCAGCCTGTTTCAGTGTCTAATCACTCTATCACACGTTTTTTTTCCTAATGTCCAACCTGAACTTCCCCTGGTGCAACTTCAGGCCGTTCCCTCTAGTCCTATCACCAATTACCTGAGAAAAGAGGTTGACCTCCACCTCATTACAACGTTCTTTCAGGAAGTTGTAGAGAGCAAGGATGTCTACCTCGAGCCTCCTCTTCTGCAGACTGAACAACCTCGATTCTCTCAGTTGCTCTCCATAAGACTTGTGTTCCAGACCCCTCTCTGGCTTCGTTGACCTTCTCTGGACATGCTTTAGGGCCTCGATGTCTTTCTTGTAATGAAGGGCCCAAAACTGAACACAGTACTCAAGGTACAGCCTCACCAGCACTTGCTGAAATCATAGATCAACAACTGAGCCTATCCAGATCTCTCTGCAGAAATTCCTACACTCAGGTAGAGAAACATTTCGTCCCTATTTAGTGTTCTCCACAAACTTACTTATGGTGCACTCAATCTCCTTGTCCAAACCATCAGTAAAGATATCAAACAGGACAGGCCCCAGTACTGACTCCTGGGAAACACTACTCATGACCAGTTGCCAGCTGAATTTAATTCCATTCACCACCACTCTCTGGGCCTGGTCATCCAGCCAGTTTTTTGTCCAGTGAAGAGCACACCTGTCCAAGCCATGGGCTGCCAGCTTCTCCAGGATAACTATGTTGAAGAATATCAATAGTTGCTTTGCACAGAAAAATGGGGCCTGTATCATCTAACAATAAGCTACAGAACTCCAGTGTCTTAAGAAAGAACCAGTAGTATCTTTCCCAGTCTCTAAGAAGTCTACATTGCTTGTTTTTTTGTTGTTTTTTTTTTTTTTTTTCATTATAGAGGAGTATTTCAATAGTTGCTTTAAGTTTGCTTTTCAAGTTTTATACCTAATGAAAGTGGAATTATTTTTTATCAGCACTCTTATTCTTTTAACTCCAGGTTTATTAGAACTTCTATTATTTTTTTTGTGCAGCAGACAGACAGAGGTCCCTTTACAAGTGGAGCTAAAGGGATCTAATGAATTTTGGGAAAACAGTAACTTCCAAATTTCATTTTGAGCACTTCACACAAACTCGCTACTGAGAAACAGTAATCATTTTATTATAAACAAAGCAGTACCTCTTCCAGCAAACAATAATTTTCAAGAGATTTAAAAGTATGAAGTAGAACCATTTTGGAAATAATAAAGTACTATCACGAGAATAAGAATTAATTCAGAGAAAGATTATGATATATAACTTTCAGCTACGGTAAGATGAAATTTAAAATCTAAACAGAGCAGTAGCAACATTTGATTTGTCTTTCAGCCCTGATTACTTTCCAAGGCTGAATAATTTCACTGAAAATAAACCTTTGGGCATATTAAAAATTAGTGTTACTGTACATGTTTTTAAAATTTAAACAACATCAAAACATGGCTATGAGTCTACGCTTAATAAAACACGGATGTGTTAACTACATAAAACCAAAAAATCCAATTCTAGAAACACTTGAGAGACTCCTGGGGCCTATATAAATGAATAAAATTTCTTATGTATGTAGTATTTAAAGAATCAGTATCTAGTTTATAATCCCCTGAACAACACTATGTATCTGGATACAATGACTCTTACAAATATGTTTATGAAACTGACACAACAAAATCTGATAGCATCATATGCCCTCAAAAGCTAGAACCTCTTAAGTATCAGTGATGGCATAATGTAATAGCAGGAAATTTATAACCATATCTTCCAGGAAAGCAAAGCAAAGAGCCACTACTCAGCAAAATACTTTAAATAAACACCAAAAAAAAGAAAATCTAGAATAATTAAGCAAGATTAAGTAACCTTCCCATATTACATTGCAAAAATACAAGTCTTAAGAGTAATCTAAGATTAACTAAAGTTTTGACAAAAAAAAAAAAAAAAAAAAAAAAAAAGCAGGTAAAGACAGGTAGACAGGTAAAAATTCAGAACTGAATAGTCAAACTATTTCAAATACTGACTGCGCACATTTCAGCTAGGAAAGCTTTATTGCAGAATATTAAAATTTCAATTATTATCAAGATGCACTGTAGGAAAATAACATCTGACACAAGATTTGCTGTGAAATAAGTTGTTCCATAAAGCCAAGTTAGTAAAAACATGGTAAAAATCACCAGCTGCTTTTCTAGTCCAGAGGTAGGTTGTTTACGTTACCTTAATCGTGAACAATGACATGGGAAATGGTTTGCATACTAAGCTGTCTTTTCACCAAAGGAAATCTAGCTCAGAAATCTTCAAAGAACTGTCACATATTACATAAACCATCACAAAAAGAAGGTTAAGGATCTAATAGTACAGTTACATTACACTAATCCCAAAGCAGATCTTATATGAGGTTAATTAACAGACATATTGCATCAGTATTCACTGGAGAGATACTTGTTGCATAGAACAATGTTCTACTCCTAGTCCTGACTTTAATCCCTTGAGGATGTCAAGCCTAACTGAAGTAGGACATAAATTTGTTTTGAAACAAAGCAGCTGATACAGATCAATGCTGAAATATCATATTCACTCATAAATATTTCAGATAATGGCAGCAGTGCAACATTTCTGCCAAGGAAGCATTACAGATTCTAGGATGGGCTCTTCCTATTTCTTTCCTCTTAGTCTCAATCTCCATTACCTACACAGACTGAATATCTTGCAGGTTAGTAAGCGTGGTATTTTTATTCAGCAAAATTGTGTTGATCTTTTCACGCATTTGTGACAACTCTCAAGGAGAAACTATGTTCCCTGCAAATACCTGAATCTCTTTCAGAGAAAAAAATGAATAGCATTTTTATGGAGCTCAAAGCAGTTTTCTCTTTGCAGTGATGACACATTTTCTTTTGACAGAAGAAATGGATGCTGGAAGGGAGCAGAAAGGAACCTATGGTTGTAGTACATGTGAACAGAGCAGTGAGGAACCTGTGGTAGAATAGCATTAAGTTCTAGTACATATGTACGAGACTTCTTGTGTAGATGTCACACATTGTGAAGAACTTCTCCCAGAACCTTCGTCTGCCTGCGATGAACAATATGGCTTCATCTAGTATATGCACAATAGGAGGAAAATAAAAGCTGTTTTTCTATCTGAGGCTTACAGAGTGAGTTAACAGAAATGGTGGCCAAATAAAGTTAGAATTTGCCACTGGTGGAGAAATACAGGAAAAGCAACATAGAAGTGTTTTTGCTACACAGCATGCAACATGTTTATTCATAAGCAAAAACAGTCACACTGCCTCAGCTCCATCTGTCTGCCTTGCCTGAAGAACAATCAGTTTTATAAATACTGATTCAACATCTGCCCATAAATGTCAGAATGCAATTAACATAAAGAAATGAACTTCAATAATGAAAATATTTCAAGTTGGACATCATATGAAAATAACTGTAGTAGCCAATCCTAATGCTACAGAAATTGACATAATTTCCGCAAGTATATATGGAGACAGGATCAAGCTCTAAGCTATATCCTCATATGCATACTCAGAAAAGAACATAATCATTTGAAAAATC